TTTCAACTCATCTATAGCTGACCTGGAACTAGAAGCAACCAACATGTCATCGACATAAAGCAACAAATAAATGTACGCACCTCCTCTCAACTTGCGAAAATACACGCAAGGATCAAACTGGCTCCGAGTGTACGAATGACCAAGCATAAAACCATCAAATCGCCTATACCACTGTCGAGGAGACTGCTTCAAACCGTATAGCGATTTCTTTAGCCTGCAAACCAACTTATCTTTCCCTGCAGCTCGGAATCCCAATGGCTGAGTCATATATATTTCTTCATCAAGATCACCATGAAGAAATGCTGTCTTCACATCCAACTGATCTAACTCCAATCCATACTGTGCCACCAAAGCTAGCAAAATCCGAATCGACGAATGCTTCACCACCGGAGAGAAAACCTCATTGTAATCAATACCTTCCTCCTGTGCATAGCCCTTCGCAACCAACCTAGCCTTGAACCTCACTGGAGTGCCCTCAATGCCCTCCTTCTTCGTGTACACCCACTTGCACCCAATCGCCTTCCGCCCCTTTGGAAGCTCTACAAGCTCCCATGTATCGTTCTTGTGAAGAGACTCCATCTCCTCCTGCATAGCCACCTGCCACGAATCAGCCTCCGAACTCTGCTCGGCCTCTCTGAATGTAGTAGGCACCATCTCATCGATACTCTCCACCGGAAGTGCATATGCAACTGTGTCGGCATACCGTGCTGGCACCCGTATGTCTCTCCTCTGTCTCCGTGCCGCAATAGAATCCTGAACCTGAGCCGTCGGTCCCTGATCCTGCTCATGAGTACCCGTATCCTCCGCATCACCGTCGTGCTCGCCTGGCGTCACCTCAGTCGGCACTCTCATGGATACTGCACTATCTGGACTCTGTGGAGCTGCATCAATCTCCACCACCTGCGAAATCTCCTCTGTCGGGTTGCTCTCCACCTGATGAGAGCTGGGAAGCTTCAAGATAGAAGCCTCATCGAATGTGACGTCCCTACTCAGCACAATCTTCTTATCAACTGGATCCCAAAGCTTGTATCCCTTGACACCACGCTTGAATCCTACAAATATGGCCTTCCTAGCTCGAGGTTCCAACTTATCAGTTCTAACATGATAATATGCAGGGCAACCAAATACCTTAAGCTGGTCATAGTCATGTGCTGTCTCTCCCGACCACATCTCCATAGGGGTCTTCCCCTCAATCGCAGATGAAGGCAGCCTGTTAATGAGGTGGCTCGCATAAGAAAGTGCCTCAGCCCAAAAGATCTTCTCCAAACCACTATGCGCCAATAAACATCGAATCTTCTCCAGCAAAGACCGATTCAATCTCTCTGCCACCCCATTCTGCTGCGGTGTATGACTAACTGTGAAGTGCCTCTCTATGCCCTCGTCTCGACATAGCTGCAGAAAGGGGTCTGAGGTATACTCGCCGCCGTTGTCGGATCGCAACGTCTTGATCTTTCTCCCAGTCTGCAGTTCCAATCTCTTCTTCCACTCCACAAACAAATCTAGGACTTCACTCTTATGCTTCATGGTGTACACCCAACATCGCCTAGAATAGTCATCAACGAACGTGACGAACCAATGTCGACCACCAAGTGATGCCGTCTTAGTGGGACCCCAAACATCTGTGTGCACGTAGTCCAAGATGCCCCTCGTCCTATGAATGGCCGTCCCGAACTTCACCTTCGTCTTCTTGCCAAGTACACAGTGCTCACAGAATTCTACTTTACCACTCTTGGCTCCCTTCAAAAGCCCCTGCTTGCACAATGCCTGCAGTGACTTTTCACCTGTATGCCCTAGCCTGTAGTGCCAAAGTCTGCTCATGTCCGCCTCTGAAATCGCCGAAGCAACCTGGCCAATCTCGGTGCTCCCCTTCAGATAATATAAATTATGATTTCGGACTCCCTTCATCACCACCAAAGATCCCTTAGTAACCTTTGCTACAGCATCCTCAAAGGTCACCCTGAATCCCTTCGCCTCCAAAGCCCCCACTGAGATAAGATTCTTCTTAAGTTGAGGAACGAATCTCACCTCCTTCAGCTCACGGACTACTCCATCGTGCATCCGAATCCTCACAGTACCTATCCCACGAACGCCACAGGATTGATCATTTCCCATGACCACAACACCCCCATCGAGTCTCTCAAATGATGAGAACCAATCTCGCCTAGGAGTCACATGATAAGTAGCGCCAGAATCAAGCATCCACTCCGATGCATCCAAATGGTTCACCTCCGGAGTAATCAAAAGAGAAAAGCTCGAATCATCGGAATCATCGCCTTTCGCAACATTCACCTCATTGGCCTTCGGGCCCTTATTCTTGCTATTCTCCTTTTCTTTGACTTTCGGGCAATCTCTTTTCCAATGTCCCTGCTCCTTGCAGAATGCACATTGATTCTTTCCAAGCTGGTGACGACCTCTTGACTTTGACCTCCCTCTGTTTCCACCTTTCTGATATGAGCTTCTACCTCTCGCCGACAAGGCCTCTCCTGAAGTACTAGCGCGGGAAGTCTCCTTATCCTTCCTCCTCAAATCATAGTTCGTCAATGCGTTAGTCACTTCACTATAAGTGATAGAAGATCTCCCGTTCAGCAACGTAAGCACGAAGGTATCATACTCCTCATCCGGTAAGGAGCCCAAAAGAATAATAGCCTTGTACTCATCTGTGATCTTCTCATCCACGTTCGCCAAGTCCGACAACAACTTAGTGTAGTTGTTCACATGAGCCGCAAGCGAGGTACCTCTGGACATCTGGAATCTGAATAACCTTCGCAGCAAGTGCAACCGGTTCTCAACACTCTTCGTAAGGTACTTATTGTTGAGAATTTCCCACATCTTCATCGCAGACGTCACCCCAATCACATCGTATTTCAGCTCCTGTTCCAAACAGGACCTGATCACCCCGCAAGCATTTCGATTCATCTTTTCCCATATCGCTTCTTCATACTTAGGTGGCCTCACATCGACCATGATGGTCTCCTCCAGATTTTGAGCATTGAGCGCATCCTGTACGTCGCTCATCCACAAACCAAAATTGATCTTGCCGTCATATTTCACAACACTAATCTTAGTGTTCTGAAAACCCACTTGAACTGTGCCTGTCATCTTGCTGCTTTCACCAATTACTTCACCCATAATCACAACTTCCAAATTGTAGAGAAAGATCCAAACTTTGAAAGAATAAGAAATTACCCAACTGAACCCTAGATTGGATTCCAAATAGAACTCCTAACCACACGAGGAAAGCGAGATCTTCAACGGCAACTTCAAACCCTAACTCCACTAAAGCCTAGAACTCCAAGAACCAAGCTTCAAACTGAATCTTCCTCCACCTAATCCAAAACCCTAGATCTGAATCTGAGCTCTGATACCACTTGTCGCGCGCCTTTGCGGAAGCCTTGCACGAACTCACAACGAACCTGTGATCACGAGTAGAAGAAAGCCAAACTCTTGCACAAATCCAACCAATAAAGCCAAGTCAATCCAAACACAGAGATATACGTGGTTCGGCAATTTGCCTACGTCCACGGGGAGAGGATGGGGAGATTTCACTAAATCAAGGAGAGTACAAAGGGTTACAATCACACAAATTCTCTCAAACTAACCCTCAACCAAAGATCTCACCTTGCTCACAATATCTCCCTCTCACAATGCTCAAAAGATTCCTTAATCTCTGATAAAAAACCCTCACAAATCGTTTCCCTATTTATATCAAAACAAAACCCCAATCAGACTGCAAATAGGAAACCTGCGTATGCAAAAAACCCGTCGTAAGTCGACTTAACAGAGCTCACAAGTCGACTTGACAGAGAGAAAATCAACAACTGGAGAACACTTCATAAGTCGACTTAACAGACTGTTAAGTCGACTTGCCATAAGTCGACTTAACAGTCATGCTAAGTCGACTTGACAGAGGCTAAAATCACAATTCGGCTGCAGATCGTAAGTCGACTCGTGCACAGTGCATGAGTCGACTTATGCCAGTTTTTCTGGTTTTTCTGATTCTTTTCCTGATTTCTCCACAATTTCAATTTTCATTCTCATTCTCTTTTGGTATCATATGAAGTTATGAACTCTTAATTTTATGTTTCGGTTTCCATTTAGGCTTTAGATTATTTTACCCCTTGCTATGCTGTCAGTTTCTTACATATTTTTAATATTTTCAAACAAAATTGTCGCTGTTATTTAAATTTACTTTGTTTATAGCCTAAGGGAGAATAGATTGAGGGTAACATCAGGTTAATTTGTTTCAGGATGGTCCATTCTCAGTCTTCCATAAAAAAATTGTACAGGAGCCAACTCACATGACAGTTACTACTACAATTTCTCATATGCTTAGATCAGAAGTTTTACTTTTGACATTGCAAAAGGACTCCTTGCGCTTTGCGTAGCATGACAAAGTTTGTTCTTGCGCTTATGCCGCTATGACAGCGATTAACATGCATTTTACGTTCTCAAGATGCGTCAGTACCTACCTGTAGGAAAACAGAACATTATGATTGTCATTGGAAAACAACCTACCTAAAATGAGCTTTTCCCTAAGTGGAGGCTTTCGGTCTATTAGGTATCGTATCTGTCGTTTCATCAGGTATCGTATCGTCATCTCATACCTCTCTGATCAAATGCTACATAAAGAGATCTCTTGTTTTAGCACATTTGATACAAATACACATGAACACTTTAAAGGTAAATAGATGTGCAACATTGTTATTTTGCTCCCCATCAACTAGCTTATTTTAGGTATTTCAGAACGAAGACAGCACTCAGCAAAGCCTTCTGGTCTGCAGTCATCCATCTACTTCCTTTTTTCTGTTGCATGTATGAAATAAGTTCCCTTGATAGTTATCTTAGGAAAAAAAGTAGGCAAAAGGTCCTCTTCATTCATACAATGGAAGTTTGTAGTTTACCAATGTATCTCTGAAGTAGAAGCAAAGAAACCAGACTCATCATCACCTCATATATCTTCCCCCTTTTCTTTCTCCTCAATTCACACCAGAGCCCTGAATTCTGAGCAGATGGAAGCCCAGCCATCCCCTGCTCTTGCAGTCAAGACCGTGGAGCGGGCGGAGGTCGACACAACCCGCCCGTTCCGTTCCGTTAAAGAAGCCGTTGCGATATTTGGCGAGCGTTTGCTAGCTACTGATGCCTACTCTCAAAAGGCCACCGCAATCATTCCAAGGCCAACTTATTCAGCTTCTCCTCCGAAACCCATTTATGCAATTTCTGCTTCGAAGCCCCTTTACTCAGCGGCCTCTTCGCCCCGCTCCTTCTCTTCTTCTTCTTCGCATTTCAACCAAGACAGAGAGGACGGAATTATAATTCTGAACTCTATCAGGAAATTAGAGGCTGAGCTAGAGGAGACGAGGCAAGAGGTGATTTTGCTGAAGGAACGGGAGTCAGAAAGAGAAATAGCAGTGGCTTCTCTTAATGCTGAGCTTCATAAGAGCATGTCGAAACTGGCTGAGATCGAGGCAGCAAAGCAGAGGCTGGCCATAGAAGATCGGTCTTCATTTGTAAAGAGCGAACGTTGGGGAGAGAGCAATAAGTTCGAGTATCTGCCTTCATTAGCCGAGGCTCTGAGCATTGGAGATATGGAGGATAGTTTCGGAGGGAGAAGGAAACCGAAGATATCGAAGAAGAAGCCCATCGTTCCTCTTATCGGGGATTTGTTCTCGAAGAAGAAGAAGGTTTCTGGTGATTTTGATGACTCTCTCTGTACCCGCCCCTTTTATGGTACTTTAACATGATGCTTGAACTAAATGAATGTAGAGAATGAGTGCTTGTTATGTGCTTGTTTCATGTGTGCCAATAATGAAGTGAAATGTGCTCTTTTCCCCCTCAGTTAAATTTGTATGGGAGACTTAAATTGAAAGATTATGTTATCAGTATTTATATGTATGATTCAGTTTGTATCAGTAACAAGTCGTGGATTCAACTAATCTGACAGTTAAAAGTATCTTCAGGGACATCCTCCACATATTTCAAATACAGTTAAAAGTCTCAACACCTCCCCTGCACTTTTCTCTCTGAATGTTTCCACTCTGATCCTTGTTTTTTGCAATCTTGAATGTTTCTATCTACCTTCTAGAGCCCTTTCACCAAACTTGGCTGAAATTATGCCCAAATACCCCCTCTAAAGAAAATCAGGCAGAAACGATAGCAAATACTGACAAGAGAAACAGGATCATATCGATCACGGTTGACCGTTCCATTGCTGATCGAACTGCCCGATCACCAATGCCATCCACTGACGACGGAAGGGCGGGCGACATCTGTGTCTGGCTCATCACTGCCATCCTCATCCTCAGCATCATCAGCGGAGGCAGCCTGCTCATCGCCTACATCGCCCTTCCTGCGACAAGAACCACTTCTTGGTTCCCCATTGCCGGAATGGTCCTCATCGCCATCCCCTGGTCCTTCTGGATACTCACCTGCATCTACCGCACTGTCATCGGAATCTACTCTCCAGGCACTTCCAGCAACCCCTCCATTAGAGCAGCCGCCGTTGCTCCAGCCAACGCGAACACCACTTCTAATGGCGCCGACGATGGGGTCGCATCACCCGTTGGTTCTCCCGGTGGGATGAGGAGAGTGAGGTTCGGGAACGCGACAGTGCTGGGATCGATGGAGGGATCAGGTCCGGGCACTCCACGGGGACAGGCGGGAGGCGAGAGGGACGACGTATCGCCAAACTCCAGCGAACACCGGGAGAGTGAACGGCCATTAACACTATCAATGCATTAGCTGTTTGAAGAAGCTCATGATGATTGTCGCTCTCTCTGTTATGTTTTTGTGTCATTGTATAGGATTTTGTTTGATTTGTTAGTATTAAGGCACAATCACCAGAAAATTATTTGTTGCTTTACTTCCTTTAACATTTAGAAGGATACATTCTACAAATCCACATTCATGGGAAATATTCACTGAAGGTAGTGAAATAGAGATTATGATGATGTCTGTGTTGGATAGCAGATTATTAGGCTAAATATGATTCCTAATCTGTTTTGGTTTTGGTTTTAGAATTATTGGGATTCCTAGTCTGTTTTGGTTTTGGTTTTAGAATTATTGGGATTTCTAGACTGTTTTGGTTTTGGTTTTAGAATTGTTGGATTCCTAGTCTGTTTTGATTTTAGGGTTTCTATATATAAAGAACGTTTTAGAAGAGATTTGAAGAGAGAAAAAGAGGTTGTTTTGAGCACTTTGAGAGGGAGATTTCTGAGAGGTGAGTTGAGATCTTTTGGTTGTTTTGAGCACTTTGAGAGGGAGATTTCTGAGAGGTGAGTTGAGATCTTTTGGTGAGGGTTATTTTGAGTGTTTGAGAGTTGTAAGGGAGATTTCTGAGAGGTGAGTTGAGATCTTTTGGTGAGGGTTATTTTGAGTGTTTGAGAGTTGTAACCCATTATTTTTCTCATCCATATAGTGAAAACTCTCCATCCTCTCCCCGTGGACGTAGACAATTTGCCGAACTACGTAAATATCTGTGTTTGTGATTGGTTTGTGCCGTTTTTTTGTGAATTGCACTTGTTGGTTGTTCTTCTCTCTTGTTCGCCTACTCGTATGAGTGTTTGGTTCACGAGCACGCTTCCGTCGACGTGCAAAATTGGTATCAGAGCTCTAGGGTTTCAGACCTAGGGTTTGTTTTGGGTGGAGGAAAATTCGTTGTTGGAATTGGTATCAGAGCTCTAGGGTTTCAGACCTAGGGTTTGTTTTGGGTGGAGGAAAATTCGTTGTTGGAAGTTTGGATCTTGGAGATCTAGGCTTCGTTGGAGATAGCATTGCGGAGTTGCCAGTTGGAGATCTCGCCTTCCTCGTGTGGTTGGGAGTTTGTGCTGGAATCCAATCTAGGGTTCAAGTTGGGTAATTTCTCAATTCTACCAGTTGTTCGAATTTTCTCTACAATTTAGAAATAACAAGCAATAGCTGTAGATAGTGCTGAAAGCAGCAAGGCTACAGCAAGTACGGTTCACGTTGCACTTCAAAATACAAAGACCAGTGTTGTGAAGTATGGCGGGTTGTGGATGAGTGATGTGCAGGATGCTTTGAATGCTCAAAACTTAGAGGAGACCCTCATGGTCCATGAGAGGCCACCGAAGTATGATGAGGTGATATGAGATAAGATGAATCGAAATGCTTGTGGGGTAATAAGATCTTATTTAGAACAAGAGTTGAAGTGTGATGTGATTGATGTGACATCTGCGATGAAGATGTAGGAGATTCTCAACAACAAATATCTTACGAAGAGTATTGAGAACCGGTTATACTTGCTGCGAAGATTGTTCAGATGTCCAGGGGTACCTCACTTGCAGATCATGTGAACAACTACATAAAGTTGTTGTCGGACTTGGCGAATGTGGATGAGAAGATATCGGATGAGTACAAGGTGATTATTTTATTAGACTCCTTACCCGATGAGGAGTATGATACATTCGTACTCACTTTGTTGAACGATAGATCTTCCATCACCTATAGTAAAGTGACTAATGCGTTGATAAATTTTGACTTGAGGAGGAAGAATAAAGAAATTTTCAGAGTTAGCACTCAGGAGATGCCTTATCAATAAGATGTAGGAGTCCCTATCCGAGAGGTGGTAACACATGCAGGTCAAAGTCAAGAGGCCACTACCAATTAGCGAAGAACCAGTGTGCTTTCTGCAAAGAATAAGAACATTGAAAGAGAGATTGCCCGAAGCTCGGAGAGAAGGAGAATGTCAAGAAGAAGGGCCAGAAGGTCAGCAAGGTGAATGTTGCTAAGAGTGATAACGATTCAGATGATTCATGCGATATTACTTCTGATACTACTACACCATCTCCACCTACGATGGATCAGTCTGTTATGTTCTCTAATCGAGGCAAAGGCCGCGGTCGTGGTCGTGGCCGTAATTCAGGGGGAGGACGTGGTTCCTTTGTTGGGAGGCAAGGTGAATCTGATAAGGGCTCACGACAGTGTGGTCATTGTGGGAGAACCAATCATATTTCTAAGAAGTGTTGGGAGAAGTTTGGTCGTCCTCAGTGGGCCCAGGTAGCTGATACAGAGTCGACTAACTCATCTATTTCTGCTACTACTTCTGGTGGTCCAGCTGTTACTGCTCCTACTGTTCAGATTTCTCAGGCAGATTATGAGAGGTTGCGCCAGCTAGAACTCTCTCAGAATATTCATTCTGCTACTCATGCATCCTCTTCAGGTATGGATGCTTACATAGCTTCTTCTCACAAACCCTGGGTACTAGATTCTGGAGCCTCATCTCATATGACAGGTATAAAGGATCACTTTGTATCTTTACATCTTTCTGATAAGTTTCCTTCTATCCGTATTGCTGATGGTACTCTTTCTCCAGTTCGTGGTGATGGAGCAGTTCATGCTACTTCCTCTTTAAAACTAACTGATGTGTTATATGTTCCCAAATTTCATGTTAGCCTATTATCCATTAGCAAGTTTACAAAACAAAATAATTGTAAAGTCACCTTCTTTCCATCTTATTGTGTTTTTCAGGACCTAGCAACTGGGATGAAGATTGGTTCGGGGCATGAGAGAGGAGGTATGTACTATTTGGACGACAGTGTGTCAGAAGCTGGCCTTGTTGCATCACAGTCTGACTCCACTTTATTGTGGCACTGGCGTCTGGGTCATCCTTCACTACAAAAACTTAGATCGGTAGTTTCTGTTCAGCCATCTATTTCCTCTTTAGCTTGTGAGTCGTGTGAACTGGGTAAGCACCATCGTGCTACTTTTCAGAGTTGAGTCGATAAACGTAGTAGTTTTTCTTTTGAGTTGGTTCATTCCGATGTCTGGGGTCCTTATCGTGTTCCCTTTGTGCAAGGTTTTTGATATTTTATTATCTTTGTTGATGATTTCTCTCGCATGACGCGACTTTATCTGTTAAAAGAGAGGTCAGAGGTCTCGCACGTTATTGAACTCTTTTATAATAAAATAAAAACTCAGTTCTCTACTTCTGTTCGTATTCTTCGTACTGATAATGCTTTGGAATATATGAAAAGTGATGTTTCAAAATTTTGTGCTCTTAATGGCATTATTCATCAGACTTCTTGCTCTCACACTTCACAACAAAATGGAGTTGCTGAGAGGAAGCATAGGCATATTCTAGATGTTGCTAGAACACTGATGATACATATGAATATTCCAAAGTATTTATGGTCTGATGCTGTTCTCACTGCAAATTATTTGATTAATCGCATGCCTTCCTCTGTCCTTGATGGTTTAATACCATTCAATTGTCTTTATTCTGATAAAAAACAATTCTCTGCGATTCCCCGTGTCTTTGGTTCTACGTGTTTTGTTCAGGATTTAACTGCTGGTTTGGATAAGTTGTCATCTAGATCCATCAAATGTGTTTTTGTTGGATACTCTCGTACTCAAAAAGGATATAGGTGTTATCATCCGTCCACCAGGAAATATTTTGTGTCTGTTGATGTTACCTTTTTTGAGTATGTCCCATATTTTTCGTCTGGTTCCACTACTATTGGCTGTCCACAGGTACCACTACCTTCTTCTGCTCCTACTACTATTCCATTACCTACTCCTGTTGCTCCTGCACCGAAACCTCTACTGACATACTCTCGTCGCCCAAAAGTACATGCCCCTGAATCTGCTACTGCGGAACCTTCATCTCCAGCTGTCGGTCCATCTCATGTTGAGACCTCTATTCCTTCTGACTTGGATATCCCTATTGCTCTTCGAAAAGGTAAACGGTCTTGCCCGAAATATCCTATATCTCTTTTTGTCTCTTATGACCGTCTCAACCCATCTTTTCGTCAGTTTGCCTTGTCCTTGTCCACTGTATCTATACCTAGGTCATATGAGGAAGCTATGTTAGTACCAGCTTGGAAGCAGGCCATGGATGAGGAAATGAATGCACTACTTTCTAGAGGGACTTGGGACTTGGTTTCTCTTCCTACTAGAGCGACTGTGGTTGGTTGCAGATGGGTGTATACCCTGAAATATCGTCCCAATGGGTCTGTTGACCGTTATAAAGCTCGCCTGGTTGCGAAAGGCTATACCCAGACATATGGCGTCGACTATTTTGAAACCTTTTCTCCCGTTGCTCGTCTCAACTCCATCAGAATTCTTTTCTCTCTGGCTGTTAATATGGATTGGGCGATGCACCAACTAGATGTGAAGAATGCTTTCCTTTATGGTAATTTAGACGAGGAGGTTTACATGGAGCAACCTCCTGGGTATGTTGCTCAGGGGGAGAATATTATCTGCAGGCTGAGAAAGGCCATCTATGGGTTAAAGCAGAGTCCTCGAGCTTAGTTTGATAAGTTCAGCAAGGTTATTTCTAATGTTGGTTTCCAACGTTGTCAGTCTGATCACTCTGTCTTTCTTTGACGCACAACAACTGGTTTGGTTATTTTAGCCGTATATGTTGATGATATTCTGCTGACTGGAAGTGACTCTATTGCCTTAACTGAGACTAAGGAGTATCTAAACCGTCATTTTATCACTAAGGACATGGGAAAACCAAAGTATTTTTTTGGGATTGAAGTTGCATATCAAAAACATGGCCTGTTGTTGTCCCAAAGGAAGTATGTGCTAGATTTACTAGAAGAAGCAAGTCTCTTGGAATGCAAACCTGCAAGCACTCCAATGGAGGCAAATGTTGATTTGTGGCGTGATGATACCTAAACCTGCAAGCACTCCAATGGAGGCAAATGTTGATTTGTGGCGTGATGATACCTCTCTCCTAGATGATGTTGGACGATATAGGAGACTAATTGGGAAGCTAATATATTTGACAGTTACCAGACCTGATATTACTTTTGCAGTAGGTGTATTGAGCAGGTTTATGCACAAACCTAGAGAGGTTCATTGGATAGCAACTATGAAGATTTTGGCATATGTCAAGAGTTGCCCTGGCAAAGGATTGTTATATAAGAAGCATGTGCATA